GTTCGACTGGCACCATCTAAGAACACTTCTGGTTGAATTAATGTATTACCAGCACCTGCTGAATAATCAAGCTAAGCTCTGAATTCAGAAAAAAATAGTTAAGGAGACATTGTAGCTAGCTGACCTGAGTTAACCAGTGCTGGAATCTTGATCCCTAGGTGCAGCCAGTGAAAGCAGCAAGTCAGGAAAAGCAAGTAGCTGTCAGAAATATTAGACCTTAAAGGAAAACCTTCAAGAAATGCTGCCCAGGGATATTTAAAGCTATATGTATAAACAAAGACTTGTGTAGATCATTTACGAAGTCAGCCTGGGAACATAAAACAGTAGGTCATTTGTGGAGCAATATTTTTGGAGTCCACTCCCTCTCCTTTTTCTCACAACAGTCAGCTGTAAAAGTAATGTGATTGAATGCTCTGGTCAGGTCACCTTTCAAAGAGCTCAACTGCTCTTATTACAATGATCATTATCTTCAAAGTCTCATAATTTCCTTCCCATATAGAAAGGAAGTCTTTATGATATAATAATACATAGAAGGTGATCTTCCTCAAAGTATAGGAAAACATGCATTCTAGTAGAGATCACTATTGCTATTAGAAATATCCTTCATAAATGAGAAATGAGATGTAGAAAGTTATCAAACAATAAAGTTCAGACCTTATTCATACAGTGAGGCTCTTCAGGTAGAAGTATAGAGCAGTAAACAATGACTGAGATTGAACCATCTAGTAAGTTGACCCGCAAACAAGCACTTTTCTGCAGGCAGACAGACCTAGTAGCACAGAGGGAACGTTACAGAAGGGCTTTAGGTGCTCACAAAGCAGCTAAGTATACTGTCATCAGAGTCCTAGAGCTACAAGACATTGCAAGATTCTCCAAGGTGAGGTTTAAGGGTGAAGGTCTCAGTCACTGACTTTCACATCCTTATTAGAAGTCAGAACTGTGTATAAATCAGGTTTATAAACCTCATAGTAAAGACAGACTACCAGAAACATATACAGAAGTAAAGAGACGATTAACACCTTATTTATAGAGTCAAAATAGTTCAGATGCTAGCCTCAGGGTTAGACCACTCTTTTTCAAACCTAATATTTGCAACACTTGACAAGCAAGGAAAAAAGTAGCAAAACAAACAAACAAAAAAGCCCCAGAAAATCAAGAAGTGCTGTGGGATACCAAAGGCAGCACAGGAAAGGGACTGCACCTATAGTGGCTGAAAGCAGTGATACCCAGATCTGTGCAGCTAATCTGGCATCAGCAGTCTGAGGTCACAAGAAAGTGTGAGAGAAGCAAGGAGTGGAGCTCAGCTTTGGCCAGCAATTGCCCATTTGCAGCAAACTGAAAGTGCTTTTGAAAATTCATTAGAGAAGGGGAAAATGTAATATAAGAAAAATAACAGAAAAATATATTGTTCAGATATATCAATGTGTAGGACTCTCCTCTCATCACTCAGGAAGTTGGAGTCTTAGGGTAAGTATAACAGAAGTGTGCAGCTATACACTGAAAGAGTCCAAGAATGTGAAACAAAGGCAAGAATGAGTAAAAAGCACAAGGCAGATGTGCTTTTAAGAGAAGCCAAAACAAAGTGCTAGAGACAGGTATAATAAAGATCAAGATAAATAGCTAATCAGCCAAGATTTGGGCAGGCCATGTCACAGTTAGGGTACAGCAGTTCTATTTACTCTTCTATTGGAATTAGCTTTTTTGCCTTTATTAATCAGGCTGTTTATCTGACTCTCCATTGGTTTACAGTCCAAAGAAAGCTCAGGTGACACACTAACTGCTAGTCACATCTGGATCTACACTGGATCTGGATCTACACTGGAGGAAACACAAGTTTTTTCACTCCCAACAGAGTTTCTTTTGGTGCTGTTGGCTCATTCTTCCTTATAGTAGTTGTCCTTTATCCAGTCACTGCTGTAATTTCCAAAGGCCAAACTCTCCTCTACATACCCCCAGCACACCCACATAATGTCTCTGTTAGCCAGCATTAATGCCAGTTGCTCCAGCACTTGCACCTCACGCAGCCACTTGATGAACTTTGTGCTTAATCACTGAAGATTGTTTACCCAATCTGTATTTTAATTCGCAGCAAACGTAATACTGGACTGCTGCTAACTAAACACAGCAAAAGAAACTGCACCAGTAACCTAAATCACAATTACCCTTTATGTATGAGTGTATGGTACACAGATGCATGGACAAGGCATGCTCACTCTGCCGTTTGTTGCCCAGGAAGCTCTGCACTCATTAACTGCCTGACACACACAGAGAGTGTGCACTCATGCTGCAGACATTGCTCACATCATTAGTCTGTTTCACGCTTCATTTCTCCCTGTAAAGCACTTAGAGGTTTCACAGTCTGCGAATCCTCCTTTAAAGATACTGCAGATCTCTTCTGCAGGCCTTTGAGGAGCTAATGAGCAAGATGTCTCTAGTTTATTAATCAGCTCCTTATCAGACACACTCTGCAGCTCCCTACTAGTTCAGCTGCTCAGCTCCAGTAATTAGACAACACACGTTTCAGTCTTTCACAGCAGTGCTACAGACAGAAAGTTTCACTGTTCCAGGACACAACAACTATGGTATTTCTGGGAATTTTAGACATATCTTGAATGACTAATAGAGATACCCTGCTTTCTATATTATTCATGCAGATCCCTGTTCTAGGACACACTCACCCATCAACACATAACATCAGCAGTGCCATAGCATCCAGATGTTATCTTTATTTGCCTCACCCAGTCTAACAGTCAAAAAGCACGTATTCATGCGCAGTTTGATTCAGAATGCAAGTAATGTGGGTAGTGTTACTTTTCAGACAACAGTCCTTCTCAAACAGCAGCAAAATCCAACAACATATGCAGTCTCTGCTTTACACAGTAAAAGCCTTATGTGTATGTTCAAAATGCCAATTTTTATTAGCTACCAATAGCTTGTGCACTCACCAATTTCACCAGGTAAATATCTCACATGCAGAAATCTGTAGATCATGAAAAGTTGACTTTTTTTTTCCCCAGTACTTAAGTCAACAATATTCATCACAAATATTGTGCAGTGATACAACTAGAAGGGAGAAAAAAATCTCTTAAACTCAGCTTAGGTAGATATATTCATTTCTAAAATATTTCTATGAAATACTGAATAGTATTAATTACAAACGGTCTCCATGTCCAGGACTCATCCCACAGCTAACTAGCCTGTCTGTTCATTTGTGTTGCAAAGGCATTCATTGATGCCAAGCTGTGGTTCCATCCATCTCCACACAACCAAGCATTATTAAGGTTTGCTGCACACAGCCAGGCTTAAGAGGACAAGCTGCTCCTAAGTAGAGCCATTGCAACTGCACATTAACATTTGAAAATTGTAAAAAAAAAACAACATGATTTTTCCTTTCCCAAAAGACAAGGAGAAGTGATACCACTGCCCAACTGCCCAGGCTATTATGAACTATGCATACACTGGCAAATACATTGACCCCACAGCAGGCCTGACACGTGTATGTGTACAGACACAGCTGACCAGATCTCAGGTCCCTGTCACCTGGCTCCAAATACACCCCCAGGGCTGTAAGCTAGGAAGGGCATAGGATACGCCCTCACAGGGATGCTTGGCCTGATCTAGATGGCTGAGGGATTCAGGGCTAACATGAACCACAGAGTACTCTTATCCCAAAGTGTAGACAGCCACAGTCTCTATCAGTCAGTTCAACTACAACTGTATCCCAGAAAAGTGGGCTATAAGAGAGAGTAACTGCTTTTTCTGAAACAAGTGCAAGTCTAGTAGCTCATTCTGAGGCTTATGACCTCACCGTCATAAGCAGTCAACCTTCAGATCTCACAGTCTCATTTCTGGGCTCTGACCTCCTGGTCCTCTGGGTAGTCAACTTTCATACCTTCCAGTCTCTCTAGCATCTGGTCCAAGCTTACAGCCACTTGGTTACTTGGCTCCTATGCTTTTAATCCTGTTAGTTAGCTTGTCCATCTTCATCTATAATCTATAATCTAGAGATTTATGCTAGCATAAGTGCCCACACAACGCACACTGCAGTCTCTCCAGTTGCTGGCACACAGCCACTGTGGTCATTGGTCCAATCATGGCCCCAAACCTGCCAGTGTTGAAGCAGCATTTGAATTTTGGGTGGTCCTGAGTGGAGCCAGGAAGTGGATTCGATGATCCTTGTGTGTTTCTTCCAACTTGGGATATTCTGTGATTATATGATTTCTAGAGGTGGCTGTGAGCTTTTTGGAGATGGAGACCACCACTCCCCATGACTGACTGTCATAATCTGCTCACTGTTGAACCTTTTTGATGATCTTTAAGGTTCCTTCCAACACAAATGATTCTATCATTTTTCTTGTGGTGAAAGACTCCACATTCATAAGCATAAACTGCTGCTAGACCAGTTGATAATGTGAAACATCTTGAATACTCAGGAGAATCTGCAGAACCCTTCTAGAAAATTTTATGTGTTCTGGTTAAGAATTCTATTTCACTTAAAATCAGAAAAAAAACAACCACAACCAAACAACTGGACAAATAAGTTAATGCACAATGTAAGTGTTTCAAAATTACATCTGAAGAAGGTGGATGGAAGGTTTCTTCTTGCATTTTTAATAATGTACTTTCTTTTGTCTGCCAGCTGCTGTTCTGACTTCTCTTTATTCTGAACATAATAGGAACATAGTTCCAGACCTGTCCTACCTCACTTCACTCTATCCAGGTACCATATTATTATGCAATAGTCTACCAGAACAGAATATGGAATCCATTTTATTGAAGAAGCATGGGTAGGGTCACCTTGTATAATTTAATACAGAAAGTTATCAGACTCACCTGGTGAACTTTCATGGAAATTAATGGATAATTTCTCAGCATGGTTTATCACTTCATTACTTAATATAGTGGTGATTATTTTTCTCTAAATATTATTTCTCTAATAAAAATTCCAAACACACTCATGCAATTCAATGAACTGCAATGAATTTATTTTTCAGCATCACCTACTTGAAGTGCTGTTTACTCATGGCTGTGACCCTCATACTCTCAGTGCCAGGTCTCTTACATTCATTGCCATTGCCTTCTGCCTCTTTTGGGATGTCCTTTGGTTCAAATGTTGTTCTGAATGGCAGAATAAAATCTGCTTGTCCTGGGGACAGGTTAGGAAAGGTTGCATCAATATATTTTTGAAAAGCTTGTCTTGTTGCTTGTATTTCAGTTTCCAGGCTGTCCTTCCAAGCTCTCATCCTTTCCAGTTTTTGTTCAAGAGCCTTTACCTGGTCTTCAGCTGTTCTCAGCGTAATCATCACCTTTTCCAGTTCATCAAGATGTACAGTCTTCAATTCTTTCATCTGTTTTTCCATTTCAATCTGATTCTCTTTTTGTTTGATACTCAGGGCAACGTTCATCTCATTACATTTGCCTTTGTTTAATTGCTCTACAGTCTTACGATATAGTTCCTCAGCTAACATGCTTTCTTCTTTGAGCTGCTCTATGTGCTTTCTATTTTAAAAAGGAGAAAATCATGGTATGGAACACCTGCTATTAAAGATTATAAAAAATAAAACAATTTATCTATTCCAAAAACCCTTCTTATTCAACTACAAATGTACATGAAATCAAGACTTACATAGGACCTCTGTAACAAAATTGAGTAATAAAAGAAGGCCACTGATGACACAGAGGAGGGTAGCTGGGTATCCAACCACAGAAGATTCTGCTTCTCCAAGGATTTCCAGTGATATTTAGATGATGATTGTTTCCAGATGAAAAAATGTAATTTAAAGCATTAATATTTCATGCTTCATCCAGGTCTCTCTTTAGGCTGACATTTAAGAACACGCTCATTTTCAAAAAGACTTTGAACAACTCTGCCCCCAAGTAAAAATGCAGTCTTGAAATGAAACATAGGAACGGATTTTTAAACTGCAGATTCATCCGTAATTTTTTTAAAGTTGTACTGAGAACATCTTTGTTTCATCAGGTCAGTAATAAAACACGGAATTTATAACACAAAACTTTATGGGGCTGCTCACCGGAGCCGGCTCAGGGATATGTAAGGAATGATAGATCAGGCACCATTAAGGCTACAGAGCCAAAGAGTTGAATGTAGAGAAGACAATTTCTGCCCTCTGTTATTTTTCCCTCCGCTGCTTCTCTATGTGAATAAATTATCCTACACCCTACAGATCTCCTCATAGACAATTTTTTCTTTTCCAGAGTTGCAGAGATCTCTTTCATGGCACAGCAGGCCCATGAGCCCATTTTTCCAGTAACTGCACATCAGTCACGAAAAGCAAAACTTTTGGATCCCTGATTTGATCTATGGTACTTGCATTCAGGAACAAAACAGGTTTTACTTCTGTACGTGGAGTCAGTGAGGGAACTCAGGACTTTTACTGGTCCCTTGGCATTTCCAATAGCTTTTTTCCGAAGAGTCTTTCCCTAGAAGATCTGCCACATTGACATAAAGGTCATTTTCTCCAGCACAGCACATTTACCAGCCAAGTCAGGAAAGCACTAGGAGTACCTGTGCTGCATGGCCGCCTCACTCAGTGCCACCTCCCTCTCCTGCTTCCTGGCTTCGGCCACGGCTTGCATCTTCTCCTTGGCACACTCCAGCAGGGCACACTGGAGCTTGTGAGCCATGTGCTTCTCTACGGCTTCAGTCTCTCTCCTCTTCTCCTCCTCCATGTACTCCTTCATCTCTGCCTTTGCCTTCCTCACCACTTCCTAAGCAAGGTTAAAATTAGATGTGAGCAGCAGTTACTATTTATTGTTTAGTCATCTTCAGGCAAAGCCCAGCAGAACAACAGCCTTCAGGAAAACATTACGGGGCAATACAATGATTTGTTGTAAGGTTATAGGTTAAGAGTGGCCAGAGCTTAGACAGCAGCTCAGGACTGTGGTGTAACAGAGGGAACTGTTTTCATCAGCTGGGAATTTTACACAGGGGTATTCACAAACTAACACACTGCAATATGTACACTGCAAATATAAAAATTCTGGAGCTGTTTTTAAAATGTAACTAAAATCCTGGTATCTTTATGACTGCCTGATGCCAATTCAGGCAGTGAAAACTGCTGTTTCAGTACCATGCTATCCACAGGTAGCATGTCCTCTGCTTCCATGCAGCTCTCCTCACAACACCAGGCCCATTGGGTGTCTTCCTAAGACCTTGCTTTGTATTACTTAGAGATTCTCTGCATCTTTCATCACCAGTAAACAGGGCACTGAACTAATCTTATCCTTAAAAGCATCATTCCACATCCATACAATATTCCATGTTTTATGCTTAAGACACTAAACATTCCCTGATTTACTTTCTTCACAAGCTCACATGGCTAGTGACATGGTTCAGAGTGAGATGAAGTCTGGTCCTCGCTATGCTTGTCACCAAGATACTGCATGGTTTGGTAAATAAAGGTGTGAACAACACTATTCTTAGGTGGTCTGGATGGACATACACACACGTGGAATATCAGACAACTCAACCTATACCAATACACATCTGTTGACATCTACAGGCCAAATCCCTGTCAAATACAACAACCCAGGAAAGCAGCTCAGCCCACCTAACTCTCTGCCCAATGATCTACGATGCTTTGCCATCATTCACATTTTTGTGGATACTGGTTGTTTGTCTACTGCTAAGAAGTGGAGCGAAAAAATACCAGGGGCTGCCTACAAGAAGCCCAGGTAAAGCCATTGATGCAGAAAGGCAGCTCTGAGGCCATCAGCTGAAAGCAGTTGTCCTGTGTAGTTATTCTACACATGAAAGAATTTCCATCACTCACTCAGCGAGAGGCATTGTTGGCTGCCACTGTTTGCTCAGATAGATGTTGAGTAAATGTTCTGCCTCTCCAAGCTCCAAATGTTCACCTCTCCAAGCTACAAGGAGCTAGCTCACATAAAATGAACTGCAAGAAAGATGGACTACAAAACATGAAACGTGTCCTCACCTCAGTTATAACTGCTTTTTCTTTTGCTTCAGCTGTAGAATTCTCTCTCTGCTCCCAAATCACTGGAGCCAATTTTTTCCCATGCAAATAATATGTATTCAAACCCTGAGCGCTGAGTTCTACAGAGATGTATAACAAGCTTATGGTATGAAATTGAATGGTTAAACACGAGGAACTGAGCTTCTGCCAGCTATTGTCAGCAGATGCTGTGACAGCAAAAGACAGAGCTCCCTTGAAAAGTAGCTCCATAAAATGAAGTGAGCTCTGCCAGAAACTTAAGACCACTATAAACTTCACTGCTTTTCTTCTTGAAATGCCAAGCACAGTGCTGTGACAGCCTGCAGTAGAAACAGCCAGCTATTTAGTATCTTGTATGCAACAAAATACCCAAGCAAACACTCAGGCAACTCCCTGTGGGCACCCCATCGGCTGATGGAAGGCAGTGCCAGCAGTATGCAGCCTGCTAACACAGAGCAGGGAGTAGGGAACTCTGCTGCCTTCCCCTCTCCTCACACAAATCTCTGGGTCTTCTCCCAGATATCCAAACAGCCATGTAAAGTATGTGCTAAGTGTGTATAGAAATACAAAGCTGCAGTTGGCGTGCCTTATTTAGAAATACACATAATGCTGGCAGTTTTCCTTCTCCTCTGCTGCATCATTTAGACAGTTCAGTACATCAGATTCAGTACATTTCCAGCTTTGATGTACACATTAGGAGAGATTTAAATATAAGCCTGTGTTTAACTGACCTTAAGAAGTGCACCTAATCAGCTTAAGTGGCTGGCTCAATGAGGGCCTTACAGCCAACTTCCAACAAGGTCCACAAACTTGATTCAATAAAAAAACAAAGCGAGATGTGCTGAAAGCAAACTAAAAATCCAGCTAGCTGAGAGCTGGAGTTCACAAATGAATGAAGGTCCTGGATATCTCAAACATAAGAAAAATAACACATTTTTAACATAGACTGACATTCTAAGGTGTCAAAAAGATAATTCCACCATATTTCCCATGTAAAGAGAGCAAACTGTTCCATACCCTTATTTCCTTCTCAAATTTTAGTTTAAGGTCTTGTACACACACACTGTAGTTAGCAGTTGCCTCCGTGAGAGCTTTATCCACTGCATCTTCTTTGTACTGTTCAGCCTTTAAAACAGATTATTATATAAACATAGCTGCTTATTATTAACATACTATTAAGACAAAGCAGAGATCATGTAATTGATTGTTTTGCATTTTCTATTTAAAAAAATCAAGGCAAATTAATTTAAACCGCATGGTAAAATGCATTTTGTCCCCTTTGATAATTTAATCAACAGCAATTCCTGTTAAGAATGTGCTCAATACAATAGCATTGGGCTGCCAGAGTACTAACCACTATCTATATACATTTGACATGAAGGGCAGTTTCAGAATCTTACACAGCACTACAGGGAACAGCTTTACTAGCCAATAACTCTTGCATGCTTTAGAGGCGGTTTTCTGGCCAGAGGTAAAATTTGTTGTGGGTTCAAAGTAGGCTTTGTTGAGATCTGAAACTGTGGAAATATGCGCACACAGAAATATGTGCACTCAAAAAGCTGAACAAGGAACGAGCAGAAATTAATAACAGCTTTGTTGCCGTAACCTCTAAGTTGCTTATTAATTATTCCAAAGAATCTTCACAGTTTCAATGACAGTAGTAGAAGATAACTTACCTGAGACCAAAGCTCAGCTTTCATTTTCTCAATGCGTTCTTGTATCTCTGCTTCCTTCCTTTCACGCTCCTCTTGTTGAATGCTTGCACCAATCTCTGTACAACCCACGAAAGAAAGAGGATCACACACAGCAAATAACCAGAATGCTGAAAACTCTGCCTTCTCCTCTCACTGCTTTTTTTGGTTCTACAGCTAAGTTAAACATTAAAAGGCTAAAACCCATGCAGTTTAATTTCACATACATTTACATGTAGGTAAGCATTTGGTAGCTTAGGTGGTTCCACGAATGCAATAATACAAGTTGGTCTTTGAAAAAGGGCCTTATGGAATTAGGAGAGTCCTGGCTCAGAACTTAAGCATAATTAAATCCGCTTTCTGAAGGCGCAAATTTTAACATTCCAAAGCTGAGGAAGATTCTCAGATGCCTTCATGCTGCTCTTGGAGCACACAAGAAATAACGGTGTGTTTTTTTAGGTATTTGGAACAGAGCACACACATACAAAAAAACTCCTTTGCCTTTGGGGCTGCTGGACCCAAGGAAGGCCCAGGGCAGTGGTGCAGGAGCACAACTAATCCCTTCTGGAAAGAAGGAGTGGAGCAGCAAGAATGGAACCATGCTGCTGCCCTGCGTAGGATGGGCTTTGCTCCCTTTGTCAGCACAGTGGGTGGAGTCTAAATAAGATATCAGCACCACCATCTCCTCCTAGTCATAAAAGCAAGCAGGCAGCCCTGCTTGTTGAGGTCAGTCTTCAGCACCTAGGGTTGCCCAGAAGAGAAGATGCTGGAGAGAGGTGGATAAAGTTGACTTCCTGCAATGCAAAACCCCACCTCAAAAAGAGGACTTCAGATCCTCCCCCTTTCCTACTCAGCGTTGCCTAAGCATTGCCTTGGATCCCATTCTCCATGCATGGCAGGGCTGAAGAGTCACATATTCTTACCCTAAGTTATTAAGAAAACAAAAAAGAGCTTTCAAACAGCCAGTACAGGGCTGAATCCCCCTCTTTCAATCTTCCACTCCAATCTTCCCCATCCACTTTACAGGTGGGCAGAATTCTTTCATGGAGATAACATGAAGTACTTGGAAAAGGGCAGAAGAATGAGACAAGGAGTCAACTGATTTAAATTAGCAAAATAAACATAAGTCCAACAATGTGGAAATCTGAACAAGAAGCACGTTGTGCCCTGGCTGCATAGCTTTTCCCCAGTTCATTATACTAGGCAGTAACAAGAAATAAGTTTAAAAAGAGTTCCTATAGCTTTCTGGACATGCTTTATATTGTATATGTCAATTCTGTTGCCTCCTGAGACATACCCAGCATTCACCCCATTCCTCTCAGCCCACTGACAATCTCCTGCTTGTTTAAAATAGAAACCAAACGCACTCCTATTGCAACATGTGTTAATTAAAATTCACAACACAATTTCTACAAAACTTTGTACCAGTGATCAGAAAGCTCTATGATAATTAGTCATAGCTTATAAAGATGCTTCAGGCTTGTGTCAGATCCTCACACATAGGAATGCGACCATATGTTTTCCTTCATCTTTGAGGTTACAATTCTGCTATGCCAGAAAAACCAACCCTCAGCTTTGGAGTGTTCCTACCAGCATGCTGTATCTTTCTTTGGAGCAGTTTGACAGATGCTTAGCTCTTTCCTCCAGTTAATATAGTGAATATGCTTCTTCTTTAACTTGCGTTCATGTTTAAGTTGTGCTATGTGTAACACAGACATAACATTGAGATTTAGGATGATAACTCTGCTAAAATAGCAGGATGAAAGACTCTTTTTGTTCATAATCCTATCAGTAGCAAAGGAAAAATCGGTTTTGACTGAAATAAGGCTTGAACTTGGCTCAACTGATGGTCAACAACCAGACTCAGGTATGAGAAGGTGGGATTCAGGATGCAGCAGCCTAGCTGTAGAAGAATGAGGGAATGTTGCAAACGTCAGCCAAGTGAGCCTTACAAAACATTTCCTAAGACTTACAGCTAATTCTGCTGCACACTTCACTGTGCACAAATCCGAATGCCTTCATGCACCACAGGACAGCTGACCCTGCCTCCCTCTGAATATCCAGGATTTAGGTGTATTCAGAAGGTTGCTGCAGTTTTCTTACCAAGACAGTTTTCTTGAGTCTTGGATATAGAAGCACTTTGAGTTTTCCTAATTCTCAGGGTGTGAAACAAGGCTTTCAGAAACAAACTCACCCAGTATATCACGATGAGTGTAGTACCGTGTCCTGAAAGGTTTGTACTCCCGAATCCGATCAAAAGTAGCGTTAGAAGGTGGCGGTGGAATTATTTTTGAACATACAGCGCAGCAAACAAAGGAATCCAAATCTGTGCTTCTGATCATTGTGGTGTGCTAGTACTTGTCTGCAGCACGGTTACTGAACTGTCAGAACTCTACTCTGGGTAGTTCTCTTGCTTGCAGGCTAAATCCTTATTATTGCTACAAAAAAAAACAAACAAACATGCAAGCCAGAGATGAGTGGGAAGCCACTGATTTCTACCAAGTTATTGGAAACGTTTGCCCTCAGATTAGATTCGCATGCTGCCAGCTCAGTAACGCACAGAAGATGCAGGCAGATGAGAGAGGTCTGTGTGAAGTGACCCCTTCCAGCCCTGGTACAGCCCCCCGCATAGCAACTGTTACCAGGTGGGACTCTGTGCTCACAGAGCTTGCCTGGTAATAGTTCAGCAGCGGCACAGCAGGCTTTGGCTTTGTAATGCAACTTTCTGTTGCTGGATGTCAACAATTTCCATTCAAACCGTGTACTCGGAGGAGATTTTAGGAGCAGAACAATAGCTACTGCTTCAGATGTCTGAATCACGGCATTCTGTTGCTGCTATTGGTAAAGATGGGAAAGTCAGCACTGAAGATATGGGACAGGCAAGGAGATGAAAAAGCCTCTGCAAGGAAAATCATTCTGACTCAGTTCCTGTCAAGTCAGCTATCGTCCATTGTAAATATTTATTACCGTACTGAAAATGAGATTGAGGGAAACAGGGCAAAAGAGACTGTCTCAGTGCTGTCTGCTTATCCTCCAGGTGCACCAAGGGAGCGGTGCATTCCATGTGAACAAACTTTACTACTAATGTAGTTCTCCTTGGGTGTATTTTTTTGCTTAAATTCCAATTCACACACCACTGTTATGTGTATGAATCAGGCAACTAAAATGGCAAATGCCAGTATTAATACTATAGTGACCGTTAATTGGGTACATTCTTCTCTGCATTTGCACTGCTTTATCTCCTAATTATGTATCATTTTTGTAGCATTAAGGAAGTCACTTATATGCAAATAAATATGGAGAAGATACTTACAAGTCTCAACATTCACTCCTCCAGTCTGGGCACCATCAGCCTCGCACCCTTCTTCACTTCCTTTCCCCCCATAACTTCCAGATCGATACTCACTCCACAAAATGCAGGTCAAAATTTAAGAACTCAAATCCCATATTTTTCCCAAATATGTGAAAATGGGACAGAATGGGCTTCCTCACTTCCAATCATCTGCATAGAAGGATCAAAGTGGGTATTTTCAGTGGTGAGTGGAGAAGGGACAAGGGGAAACGGCAGGAAACTGCAGCATAGGAAGTTCTGCACAAATGTGCGCAAGAACTTCTTTACAGTGAGGTGACGGAGCACTGGAACAGGCTGCCCAGGGAGGTGGTGGAGTCTCCTTCTCTGGAGATGTTCAAGACCTGCCTGGATGCCGACCTGTGCGACCTGCTGTAGGGAACCTGCTTTGGCAGGGGGGTTGGACTCGATGATCTCTGGAGGTCCCTTCCAACCCCTACAGTTCTGCGATTCTGTGATTTAAAAAGCTTACAGAAAAGCTACAGAAGACCATTTTTTGTGGCATTTGTAATCATTTAAGTTCATGCAAACATACAAGACTCACGCGTTAATGGCTAGCATCCTGTGTAGCCCTTCTTTCAAGACTAATTCTAATGACCCATCACGTCCTACTTAAAAAGAAAAAATGTTCTACAGGATACACAGAGCATCTGATGGCTCTGAGTATTCAATTTACCTAGAAATTCTTTCACCAACCAAAAGGCAAGCCCTCTCCTTACCTGCATGCTTTTGGATCAGCACTAGGCCCTTGCTGCAGGCTCCCAGAGGGCAATACATTTTAAAGGCTTTCTAATGCTTTTCTATAGCTCACTTCACCTCTCATGAAGGAGGCAGTTAACCAAAGTCCAGCCAAATTTAGCATACAGCCAATTACAAAACAGGACAGGAGAAAAATCAGAGGTTCAGAAGAAAGGATTTAGATGGAGATACAGAGAAATTCCATAGTGATTCTGCTGTCTGTAGTCTGTCACCTTTTTGCTATCTTCAATATCTTTTGATCCAGAACTAACTCCCAGAGTAGCAAAGCAGATGCCATTCACATGCCCTTTCTTCCTTGGCACAACTGAATCCACCTCGGCCAGAAGGGGGTTAGCAAGGAGGTGTCTCAACTTCTTGGGTTCCCTTGAAGACAGTGTAAATATGAGGAGCTGAATGGGAAAAAAATGAACCACATCAGTAGCAAGGGTTTGAGGTAGAAACAGGCCCTGGACTGGTATGCAGCACCCACCACACATTCTGGTGTGCCAGAAGTGTCGGACACAGACATAGCTGGGGAAGCACTGGGTAAGGCCTCAGTGCTGGAACAGGCAAGTACCCACCCACACAGCTTGCTCAAAGCAAAGTAAAGCTGGAAGGCTTAAGTGGGCCCACCTCCTGCGCTAAGGAAATGTCACAACTACCTCCCTCCAGCCACTCCCACAGGGCACCATCTGATAATGATCTTCATCAGATATTCTCACCTTAAAATTACTTTTACTTGCAACCCTGTAATGATCAACTTTCAAAAGATCAAAAGTCCAACGTTTTCTTTTCACACAATGCATTATGTGCATTATCCACTTTAAATAATCCCTGTTTTCACTTAGTGAAAGCGAAGAGGAAAATGAGTTGAACCACGTGAATTTCCCAGGCATTTACCAGTCTAGACATACTATAGAGATCACAGACAAAAATCAATTTTATGTTTGTATGTATCTTAATTACAATTTATTTGTACAGCCATGCTATTTTATAATGGAACTTATACTGGATTAAAAGGCACAAGAGAGACTTAACCATGATTTTAACAGACAGAGGAAAAATAGTTTTCAGCTTTGAGAAGTTCTGCGGCTGATTAGCTTATTTCCTTCCTTATGTCATCAGTCCCACTTGGAAGTTTTTCTCCTTGTATATCTGGACCCCTCACTGTCAACCGCTTCATAGAGATCCTTTTTATTCTCTACTGTCGCATGCAAATAACCAAGGTAGGCCACGCAGAGGGTAATTGCTACGAGTCCAAATGCCATCACAGGTTTGTTCTGACAAAAAAAACAAAAACAACAGTACACGTTTTTAGTCAAAATATTTTTTCATCCATCATAAACATTACATTCTTTAATCTTAGCTTACAAAGTGAAGAGTGAACTATTGCGATATCAGAACTCACCACTGCCTTCCTTTAGACTGACCTAAATGAGTTTGATAAACAGCAAGAAGGAGACATGATTTTCTGGAAGCAAAAACAATTCTCTCTAAGAAGGAGGCCTCTGTCTTTTGCAGGTTGCAAATGCTCCTTGAGCATGAATATCTGGCCACAGCCAAATATTGCAGGTTACTACTACAAGTTTCAAACAGAAATTATCTGGATATCCCGCTGAAACAATGTGCTCTGCTCCTGCCAAGTGGCATTCATTGTATTTCCCTAAAAGAGATCACTTATCATCACCACAAAAGCCACCTTTATTATGTCCACAAAGTTTCATCTTGTCTTACTGACACCACTGGATTTTGCAAGTGTAAATAAAGGCAGAGTATCATCAACTTAATTATAAAAGCAAATGCTGTAGGCAAAGAATATTGGCCAATACATTTAAAATACATTGCTATCCTCTTAAAAGCCTTTTTAAAGTACTCTGCCACATCACCATCTTTCATTATATTTAAAAAAAACCCAAAACACTCCATATAAGAAATAGTTAAATATTGCCTCTTTTTATAATACTTTTATATTAACTTTTGAGGTATTTTTATAATGCTTTCTGAGTGTTAGGCTTGCATTTTATGATTTGGACCATTTCAAATATGAAAGAGAACTCCTATTACTTAACCTGTCAAATTACAAGTGATCACAAATTTCACTCTGGAAGTGACTTGGTACAAAATAATCAGACAATTGCATTGTCTGATTTCAGTGAAATGAAAGTTGTAATAAACGATGTTAAGCTCTGGGCTCGTGACAACCAGAGTAGAAAAAAAGCAAAAAAATTTTTCGTTATGTTAGAGGGTTTGCATAACAAGAAACTAAGATAATGCACACCGAATTGCAATTGTTGTTTTAAAGCAAACTAAACATATTTAGTTTCTCTCAGCAAGAGCTTCTTACGGGTCTAATGAAAAGCTCCGGGTTCACAGCTCGGAACAGAGTGGTTGTCCGGGCAGCCCTCAGTCCTGGATTTCTCTCTTTGGGCGTTTCATTTTCATTCGGAGTTTTGCTAGAAGACATTTCAACTGATGATGAATACTTCCTAAAAACAGAATTAAGTATATATATATGAAATGAACTAAAAGAAGTACATTCACAGAACATGCACTCAGCTTGTCTTCCAGCTCAGCCTTCACTTAGTGCACGCACTACCGACTGACCTGGCTGTTACCTCCAGCCGAAGCACACTGCCTTGCAATCAAATCTGATTAACTTTCACATTTCGCATCCTAAAACACACTGTGTGAGGTGCTCATATTGCACATGTCTTTCCACTTGTAACAGGCCTGTATTTTTATTTATGTATATTTATTTTTTAGGATAATGCTTTCGCTGCCTACGAACCACTACCTGAAAAAGCACTGCCACACGAAGCAGTCAGTACACATTCTTTTTATCTTTTTTAACCTTACACGTGACAGACCAGCCTTCGTCCCTCAGTGGTGCGGTCACCACCACCACCCGAAGGCTCCAGTCTCATTTTCACACTCAAGAGCACGAGGGATGACGAAGGACAGCTGAGCTACGGCGAGAAGCTGTAAGGCAGCCCAGCAGGCACAGGGCGCCGAGGCCGCCTCGCCCCGCAACCCACAGGGATGTCGCACACGGGAGAGGCCTTTCGGCTGCGGCACGCTTCCGAGAGGAAACCCCGCAAGGAGCGAGGCCCGGGAGCGCCGCCTCAGCTGCTCCCTCACAGCGGAGAGCGACCGTTAGCGCTCCCGACCAACGGACGCCGCTCCGCGCGCACACCCTCCTCTACCCCCTCCCCCGCCGCTACTCACCCCGCGCTCTTGACGGGGCCTGACCTCTGGGGGAGGGGAAAGAGGAGGGGCGGGGCGGACCTCAGCGATGGCGCCCCCTCGTGGTCGGAGGCCGCCGGAGCGGGGGCGGGATGAAGAGGCGAGGGCCGGGACGCCATCTGCTCGTCGCCGAGCTATTGTTGTGGCGGCATATGCTGCACAGCTGATTCCGCGTACCATTGAGTAGGGAAAAAAGATACTTCTGAGTGTGGGTTGCTGCTTTCGTTTGTTTGGGTGCTTGTGTAATTGAAAGTAGTTATACCCAGGTTTAGTGCAGGACACATCTGCATTTGTCCCCCGAGTCACTGACGCCTTCCACGCGGGGACGGGGAAAGCTTACATCGCCGCCCTGAGCAGCGTCCTCCCTCCTCGGCACCTCTTCCCAACCGTTCGTGTCATTCGCCGACCGCAGCCACGCGGATAAAGCTTTTGCCGCAGGGCCAGCCTGCGTGACAGTGACATTTTCCAGGCGGTGGTAGGATGGGTTTATACCAGAAAATGCCTGCTTGAGAATGCAGCCACTTTGCTGCAGGAAGGTGGTGAACGCTGTTAGGCTGCTGGTCGCTCGCCACGATGCAGATCAGTGAAGAAAAGCTGGGGCTGCGCGCTGTTTCCAGTTCTGCTTCCCGACTGTGGGAAGTGCCTGATTTACCCTCTGTGACGATACTCTGTTGGTGTCTGAGCCAAAAGGATGTTGAAAATCTCAGTCCATCAGTGCTTATAAAGTTGTCCGGAATCTTTTTATGGATGGCGTTCTTTAAAGGATAGAACTGTAAACATCTCCGGTATCTCGGAGTCTTTACAAGTCAGCCCTCATCTTATTATCCGAGTATCTCTCCTGAAAAGTAAACACACACACACGCACAGATCTTCCTTTTCGAAGCCTAGGGCTGTAACCGAGCTTTATTTTCCTTTTAAACGAATTCCTCTGGGATTCCGCATTCAGTATCGCGCTGCACGCTGTGACCATTCAGAACCTAATAGCAGCTCCTGCTTCTCGTGGGACTCACGTCCCCTCGCTGTTCGAGCCGCCGAAGAGTCTCGGCGGAGAACAGAACAGATCTGACAGCGTAACCCGCAGAGGCGGTTGGCATGCAACAGCCAACCTAATGCAGCGCCGGGAGCAGCGGCGTGCCGCCGCATCTTTGCTGATTCACCTCACAGCTCCCGCTTATTTCAAGCGCCGCACAAAGGGAGGGCTTTGAGCTGTCTTCAGAATGAGGATAGGACGCCTCGAGCTACCGATAAGCTTATCCTTATTTTAGACGCACACGGTTACAGATCGCAAAAGGAAATCTTTTTTTGCACGCGGAGCAGAATGGCCGTGTTGAGGAAATAAATGCAGAAGAAGAAATAAACAGGTCTCCAGCGAGGCAGAGGTGCCGCTGAGAGCTGTCTGTGTGTTTGCTGCTCGACTCGTGAAGGTCTCAAGAGTCCTTCTGCCAGTTTGCAGCTGCTAGCACTCATTCGCATCCTCTCGTTGAAAGAGGGCAGTTTTCAGACAACGGCACTTGTCAGGAACCTACCGCTGATGAACCGAAGTAGTTTTAAGGCAGTAAATGTGTTAGAAACGAAAATCTGTTAAAGCAAATCTTTTGTGTTTCATAGCATTGTGTACATGCCTTTTAAAATGATGGTTAACAGCTTTGTCTTGAAAAGACAGAAAAATCACCCAGCCGTGCTTTGCAGCCCAGATTAAAGCAGTTGTTATTCTGCAAATACTGATCAAGCTTAATTTTTTTATTATTATTATTTATGTCTGAGTCCACTGTGGAAGAGAAAATACACCTTGGCAATACTTTCATTAATGAGTGTGCAAACTGTTTCCGGTTGAGAACACAATGATACGAAAACATGGAGCATCCTCTTTGGAAGGCAAAAGTCAGTTTCTCCTATAAAGAAAGAGCAGAGAAGTGTCTACAGCGCTGGGTTTTCCCTATTGTCCACTGCTTGCTCTGCTATAGGCACCTTTCATTTTGGAGTCAGGGAGCACAGCTCCTGGGAAGACTCCAGAGGTAGGAACTTGAGACGTCTGACAGAAAGAATGCGGGGTGAGGGGCTCTGGCTGTGCGGCCCGTGAGCTCTTCAGACTTCCTACACTTTACTTGTCTCTTACAAACACCACCACATGCCAAAATGCAGCAGGAAGAGCCAGTGCCTAATATTTGGTTATGAGGTTGGATAGAGATACAACTGAGAGAGGGAAGAAATGAAGTAAAGCAAAACAGTTCTGACATTTAACCAGTTTGATAATAACCATGCAGTTCTAATAGGACAAATGGGCTGCGGGGGATTTTTTCAGGTTTTTTACCCCCACTTTTTTTTTTACCCCCACAATTTTTTTTTACCCTCTACAGTTCTATAGGAATTGTAGAATCACAGAACCACAGAATATCCCAAGTTGGAAAGGATGCACAAGGATCATAGAGTCTAACTCCCTACTCCACGCAGGACCATCGAAACTCAAACCCTGTGTCTGAGAGTGTTGGCCAAATGCTCCTTGAACTCCATTAGCTTGGGGCTGTGCCCACTGCCTTGGGCAGCCTGTGTCATGCCCATCTCCCTCTGCTGAAGAACCTTTCCCTAACCCCCACCTGACCCTCCCCTGATGCAGTGAATTTGGGCTTTCTGTTCCTGTTAGTAATGTGACTGAGAAATGTAGCCGCATCCTAGATAAAAATGACCGAATAGAACAGATCGAAGAACTGACACTTGTTAAGATGCACTAGGACAGGACATACACACCTATTCAATTGCTTAGTCATTAAAAATAACTGTGGGCTTTCTGTCAAAGAGCAGGCATGGTGGCATTCAAGGTTCTTAGGACATCTCTATGACTTCTGAAATGTAGCCACAATTCTGTACAGCAATTAGAAGTTTTTCACATGGACAGAATTAAAAATAAATAAATGTAGACAGAACACTAACAAGAGGACCCAGTATTTTCCAAAGGCCTCTTTTGCTATTTTGGTGCAGCAGTAAAGTTAATAATTGAAGAGCATGAGTTTGATGAGACAAAAGCTGGTAATTACGGAGCATCTGAAATGGGAAGCTAGCTGGATTCTTCAGTGAATTTGTGCAGGAATCACATACAAAAGGCAAGCTCTGCATGGATGGATATGCAGTATGTGCATGTGTTCACACAGGACTGGCACAGTCATGCTACTTCTTGCCTTGCGGGCACTGGGCCTGCCCCTGTCTCATAGGCATTGCTGGTCACTGCCCACAGCTGTGCCAAGGTGAAAGCACAGGGTGTGCAGCTTGTGCTTTTAGTGGTTATTGATGTATTGTCAGTGGTACGGACGAACACTCAGAGGATGCAGATAAAGCCTTGTGACTTTAAAAAAATGCATTAGTTTCCTTGTTTCTTTCTGATGATACCAGGCATGTTCAGGTTCTGGTTTGAATGGTGTGCCAGAAGGGATGATCAGGTTTCATCATTTAGTTTAAATTACCTAGGTGAGCAGTTTCCATTTTCAGGGCTTCAAGCAGCAACTCCCTTTCTTGGAAATGAACTGCTGATTGCTAATGCAACTAGAAAACAGGGGGGGGTCAGCTGTAATCACTCACTGCTACACTGGTAAGTTAGAGTTTCTTGTCATAAAATACAAATGAGAGGTTGTTTTCCAATGTTAGGCTTGATAACAGCCTCATGGAAACCTCCCATCTGCCAGAACCAAGCAGACATAATCCTGCTCTCGTCTTTCTGATAACTACCAAAGAGGTACAAACTTCAGAGTAGCCACTGATTACTGACTTTGTTTCTACTGCTTGTTCAGGTGGAAATCTTTTGATTTTGTCAGTTCATTTTTATAAGACTTGTCAAAAACCTTAGAATAGTAGCCTGAATGAAGCTGTGACACTTATTATGGCTGAAGATCATTTGCTGCAGAGGGAGTTTTTGCCTGCATGGGAGAGCATGGCAGAGATGAGAGATCTGTTTGGCATGAAGTTGATAGAAAATGCTGCCACAGTTGTGTTGGTTGCATACAGACACCACAATTTTCTTAAGTCATTTTAGATTCCCCTGAGATTAATTTTTTAAAATTATATAATTTAACAAAATAACAAAGAAAACAGTAAACTGTGTCTGCCCTCTCTCAAAAAACATTCATCTGCAGTGGAGGACAGACCACAGCAATTAGCAGCTGGCAAAGCATCACACCCAGCGGCTGTTAAGTGATGTTTGTGGTTTTCCCAAATACAAAACAAGCTTCTACTAGCTGTAAAAAAGAACACCAAGCATGCCTAAGGTTATGAACTGGCTGAAGATGTAATATGTATGTGATATTTTCTAAGAAATTGATGTTTGGCTGCTAAGGGACTGAAGCCCAGAAAGGAAAGGGATTTGTTCCAAGCCACGTGAACTCAGGTGTAATCCCAAACCAGCCAGATGAACCATCTCCTGTCTAGTCTTCTTTTTTCTAGTGAGAGGCTAAAATAAATAAATAAGATATGGAAGATGAAGGCAATGGACTGGGCTTTTCTTAGCTCTGGACCTGGTGTCCTGGGTGACGTGGGATAAACATCACCTCATGGACATCTCCTCCTCCACAGCATGGATTTCCCTGCCCAGGCTAATGGTGTTTTCAGGGGAAGGCTCCATGTCTCATTATGTGTTAATGAAGAGTTCACAGCAGTGAAATTCAATGCAAAGAGTCTATAGATCGCTCTTCGTTGATCAGTGGGAGAAAAGCAAACTGTAGTCAGCAACTTTACATGTGTTGTGCAGGGGCCTCCACTTCCAATGGAAGCCTCTAAATGATGAACTGGGTTGGGAAGCCTGAGCT